TATCAAAATGATATCAAACCCACCTACCATTAAGGGGCTATTCCAGTAGATCTCAACTTGGGAGCATTTTGAACTGCCTGGAGAGTTCTTTGATCTAAAAGAGCTCTCTGCCACCTAATGGACAGAGTCAGAGGTGCAGCTAAGCAATGCACAGGACAGTTTGACCACAAAGAACTGGAACAAAAAATGTTAACAGTGCCTAGGTTGTGAAACCCTGGGCTATACCAAAAATCATAGACAAAAAAATCCCCACAAAACAATCCTGACACTCCAGATGGTTTGGAGGCTAGTGATGGGGAGCCATTTTCATGGCCCTAGAAGTTTGATGCCTGCGCCACACCTTGCCCCCTTCAGCAGCTCCCATGATGCATCTGTCCAACCACAAGAAATGAAGACAGATCCAAGTTCTTAAATGTGCTGGTCTTATGCCTTGCTATAAGTTCTGCTAAAAGTGTTTTAGGGGAAGTGGTTGGAATTAAAAGTTAAGACTCAGTTTGGGCTTTATCAGCTTTTAGCCATTAACCATTACTCTGCCCATTATCACACAAAATCAAAAGTTGGCTCTGTTTGTAGCAACAACTCAGGGTTTTGATCTTTGTGAGTTTTAGGGTCTGAATAGGAGGCCCAGAAAGTAACTCGCAGTCAAAACAGAATCAAGCTTATGCCTTGTTAAAGAGGAAGCTCCTAGGTGCTGCAATTCAGCTTAACAAACACATGGGGATATTTCTAATGTAAGAACTAGCAGTTTCTCAAAGTATGTGACAATATCATTCATCCAATTATGAGTTAAATTCAAGCATTTTGTCAATGACCTAGACTCTAACTGAAGGGGAAGTCAATGGGCCATGGTGGCCAGGAGTCAGGAAAATCAAGTCAGAGCTGATTGAGGATTCACAAAAGTGAGCAGCAGCAGCAAGCAGAGACATCCCCACTTCAGGGCCCAGGGAACCAGTGCACAGGCACCTGAACCCCTGCAGCAGCTCTGGGTCCCAGTGCAGGCTCCACCCCTGCTGGTTAATGTCTTTTGTTCTCAACTCCACTGTGAACAGTTGATTCCATGCCTTTACTTGGACATCAGTGCAGGACATAGAAAGCTGAGTCAAAATCAAAAGTCAGAAACACATTTCTACTTTCAGAAAATGGCAAATAAAACGGAGGTTCTCCATGCTGTGGCACCTGGAGACTAACTGGAGAGAGTGAAGGAATCCACACCTGTAGCCACTGAACACCCTGATCAAAAGCAGGTCACGCACACTCACAAACTCCCACGCACACATGCGTCTTCTCTTAAAAAATAGGGTCTAAGTGACTCCTAAAGGCAAGACTGCAGAAGACTGCTGAAGGGCCGGTGAACATGCTCAGACTCATCAACAAGCACAAAATATGCTGCCCATACAGCCCCGCTGGCCTAGAGCTGAACTGATCTGAGTTTGAACTTGTCTAGTCACGTGTTAGCTGTCCAATTTGCTTTTGGTGAGTTACTCTGCATTCTAAGCATCTGTGTGCTTATTTGCATGATAGAGGTAAAAGAAACTCACTGACAAGACTCTACTGTGTTACCCCAAATTTCAGGCAATCCATGTCCCCCCCACTGTGCCATCACTTCAAGTGTCTTGGTGAATGTACCTAGTAGCTCTCTCTGCCCAAAACTACCCCCTTTTCCCGCGATGCCTGACTAACTAGAGGGGGCACACTATCCGCACTCATTGTCACGTGCTCTCACCATTCCTGAAGCTGGCTGGTGCTGGTGCTGGTGCCCGTTCTGCTTCCGTGCTGCCGCCTCCCATGACAGCCCCTGCTGCGCCCAGAAGTGCCACTTTGTTCAGCTTCCTTCTAGACTGTGACCTTCCTGAGAGGTCCCTTGGCCAATGGATTTCTACAGTGCCTGGCAAACATGTTCTGATAAGCAAATGAACAGAAGGTCTTGGCAAAGGAAGAAAATTGGGAATATGCCAGCAGTTCTCAACCTGTGGGTCGCAACCCCTTTGGGGGTCGAACGACCCTTTCACAGGGGTTGCCTAAGACCATCGGAAAACACATATATAATTACATATTGTTTTTGTGATTAATCACTATGCTTTAATTATGTTCAATTTGTAACAATGAAACCGGGGGTCACCACAACATGAGGAACTGTATTAAAGGGTCGCGGCATTAGGAAGGTTGAGAACCACTGGAATATGCGAAGCCAAAGGTTACAATGCATCTTAAGAACACAAGAGTTCAACAAGGAGAAATCCATACCATCAAGTGCTACAGAGAGGTTAGGAAAAGTAAGTGGGGAAAGAAGGATAAATTATAAGTGATGTCCCTGGCAGCCTATGGAAGCTGTGAGTGTCAAACATTCAATGTTCAGGGCAATGAAGGAAGATAAGAGTCTTATTCTTTCAGGTGAAGGAGAGAGTGAGCTTCCCCAGCTGAGCTAGAGGGAGCACAGACCAAAAGCCACGAGGAGAGCAGAAGGAGCCAGCCACTGTGAGAATTTAATAAGGAGCAAGTAGAAACAACTTTATGAGAAGCAAGAGGGATGGTCAGTTACAGGGAAAAATATAGTGATTTCCATGAAATAAACTGGCATACTTGTAATGACTTCCTCTTAACAGAGGTCTTGGGTCTAGAAGGAAAGAACATTATTTACCAACCCACAGGAACACTGGGGAAAGAGGCAGGACCAAAAGTCAAGACACAAGAAATTCTAAAATATCCAACTGACCTTGGAATAAGAAAGGCCAGGAGCCCCCTAACCAGTTTGGCTCAGGGGATAGTTCATCGGCCTGCAGACTAAAGGGTCCCGGGTTGCTGGCATATCCCCAGTAGGGAGTGTGCAGGAGGCAGCTGATCAATGTTTCTCTCTCATTGATGTTTCCAACTCTCTATCCCTCTCCCCTCCTCTCTGTAAAAAAATCAATAAAATATATCTTTTTAAAAAAATAGAAAGGCCAGGAGCATGATGACATACTTAGAATTAAGACAACTGAATAGTATAAGAGATTTTTAAAGATAAAATATAAAATATTTATCACATGATCACACTCATATGTGGGATATAATGATCAACATAATTTGATGAACAAGAATAGATTCAGAGACAAATGGGGGGGGGGGAGCGGGCGGGCGGAGGAGTTAGAGAGCAACCAAAGGACTTGTATGCATGCATTTTAGCATATCCAATGGAGACAGACACTGGGGCGTGGGGGCTTGCCCAGGATGGGAATAGCTGGGGCGCGGGGGGGGTCAGTTGGGGAAAAAGGAGACATACATAAAACTTTAGACAATAAAATATATATAGATATGATATTTAATATCAAGTTATTACTAAATATGTAAAGACTGACAATGCAGTCCTTATAGAAATCCCTCCATTCAACCCATTCTAACTGCTCTGAAAACCATCACATACTGGCATCAAAAAGGAAAATAAAGAGTAGAATCAGGACAAGGGAGATAAAACCAGCAGTGATAAGAAAATGGCTTTAGTCCATTTAGCAATGTACACAATGATTACACACACCTATATACTATTTTCTAGTGTTATAAGAGTCATTGGGAGACAAATATGAAAAGATCTGGGGCATCGGTTAAAGCTTTTGATGCTTGGACTTGGAATGGCAAGTGGTAGGAGAAGACACATCATTTCCTAAGAACTGAACAAAGGACAGGAAGAAGGACGCTTATCAGAGGCGGGCACTGAGAAAAGGGTGATTTGAAAGCAATTCATTCTCCATATACATTTCTTTCTAATTATGAAATATTTCAAATATAAAAAATAAAAGTGCAAAAACTAATGTTTGCAAAACCAATGTACCCAATCACTCAGTGTTAACTGGTAGTAATATTTAGCCATAATGGTTTCCAAATTTAAGGGATGAAATACCAGAAATATAGCAAAAGCCCAACCACCCTGCACCAGCCTTCTCCTCCTCCCTCCCCAGGACTAAGCGCTGCCATGAAGCTAGAACACCTCATCCTGACCAGATCATGCTCAGCACCACCGTGGACCACAAGTAATGTTGCTCCACAAGGAACTTCATCCCCTTTTTTATTCCCTAAAGAGAACTTCGTGACATTTTAGGAATATTACAGAAAATATAAGATTTCTTTATCACTTATTCTCAAGTAGATTTCTATAAAATACATAATTACATTTCCAGGAAACCATGAGAGTGAGTTATTGATGACGAAATCTGAATGAATAGACTAAGGAGAATCCTAGACTTCAGGGCTACCTATAATGTAACTGATTCCTATCTGGAGTCCTAACTATAGTAAAGAAAAACGAGGTTTTTTTTACCCTCCTCACCAAATATTTATTAAATGTCCCCTGTGTACAGGATCTGGAAAAAAAACAAAACAAGCTACTGAAAATGTGGTCATTGGGCCAACATCACACCAACTACAGACCTATGGGATCCGAGTGTTCATTTCCGTGAGATCCCCAAGTAACATGTGTGCACAGTAGTTTGAGAAGAGCTGTTTAAGAAGGTGACAACCTCAACCAAACTCATCCTTTCCTTGCCAGACAACATGCTTTCAGGTGTTATCTCTGCTCACATCCCTCTCATCAGACCGGCAGTCATCAACCAGGGGCAGCGTGGTCCCTTCAGGATACTTGGCAACATTTGGAGACATCTTATTACAACTTCTATCTAGGACAAGCATGTCAAACTCGCAGCCAGCAGGCCACATACCTTTTGTTTAAATGAGGCATGCAGTCCGCCAGCTGTGAGTTTGACATGCTTGATCTAAAAATACTTTATGTCCAACACTCTCAAGAGTTTGTAAGTTTTCCACAGGAGTTCACACCAAATCAATAATCACTAATATTGACAGCCAAGACCACCAGTATAGAAAAACAACAGCCGAACCGGCAGCTGGTTTGCCCTGAAGGGTGTCCTGGATGAAATTTAAAAGTATTTACACTGCTACCATACATACTTCTCCAATAAAAACACTCTGGTGTTCATTTAACTTAATTAATTCATTTTTCTCCTACAACATAGGATCATCTGTAAAGAAATACTTTGGCCACTTCAAGATGACAAGCATTCACTGAAAATTACTTCATTGAAAAGAAACTTCATACAAAAAATTTTTAAAGGTAATTGAAAAAACCCTTTAGTATTATCACAAGGTTTAATAATTTCATCAAAATGTCATGAAGGAATAATTTCCCTTCTTCAGAGAAAGTAGAATTAAGGCACACGATCAGAATGGTGGGAGATGGCCCAGAAAAAAGAGAAAAATGGGTCACTGTAATTACTCAGAAGATGAGTAATGACCTCAGCATGTGTGGTTTTTAAAAATATATTTTTATTGACGTCAGAAAGGAAGGTAGAAGGAGAGAGAGATAGAAACATCAATGATGAGAGAAAATCATTGATTGTCTGCCTTCTAAACACCCCATACTGGGTATCAAGACACAACTGGACATGTGCCCTCACCCGGGAATCGAACCGTGATCTCCTGGTGCAAAGGTCGACATTCAACCACTGAGTCATGCTGGCCCGGCTCAGCATGTTTTTATTCAGATGAATAAATTTCTGGGGTGAGCAATGCTTTGCATGGCCCTGTGTCAACTAAATTATCAGAGAGAGCCCTACAGTTATATGCAACACCCTTCCACTTGAAAACACTTAGTGCAGCACCCTGAGACTTTACACAGCACGAAAAGACAAGTGCATGCACCACCTACATTAGAATAACCGTGGCATGGATATTCTAGCTCTGCAAAGAAGTTGAGAGAAAGCAATTCATAGGCCACTATTACAGAGCTGTCTTTGGGCTTATAAATTCCATTCCACCACATTCTTTAATTATGTTACCTAACACCCAGAGTAATGGTCTACAGAGACTAAAACATTTGGTGCCATTTGACTCCACTCTCCCTTGCCTGCATTTGAGGAACAAGGAAGAGTTCCACCTACGAGAAATTGAAGACTTATACAGTTAAGTGTCTTTTAAAAGTTCTGCCACATAGAGAGATCTTTAGTGAGCAGTGTTTGCATTCCTGAAGGCTCAAGGTTAATGTAACGACCACTTTCATTACAGAAATTCAGTTATCATCTCAGAATTAACTGCCTTGGGGGCAGGGCTGGCTATGGCTCCACAACTGCCTGCCCACTTTTTCAGTTGATCATCACCCAGAGGTCCTTTTCCTATTTTTCCCCTTCCCTTTGCCTGTCTTTATCTTTAATGGGCTGGAGCAAGGAGCTTAGAAACAGTATATCAAATAGGAGCATGGGGCCGGCGAGGAAGGATTATTGGGCCACCCCAAGACAGTCTTTGTTTTCTTTCTGGTTCATTTGGTTCTTATTTATCTTTATGTGCTGTATAAAATCAGCATGTCTTCATTTCCAAAATGACTTAAAGTTTCAGTAGGTCCCTTTATTTGGGCATTAAATCATCTCTATACTAAAGATAAGGAGAGGAGACTGGGCAAATGTTTCAAGGTCAAAGTGATACATATCTCATAAGCTTGTCCTGTTTTTCATTCAACACATAACCCTTCCTTTTTGTCTCAATATATAAAATTGGCCTCACTTGCTGTAGATGCCTTATGATAGCTCCTTTTTCACACATCTCTCAATCTATCACTATACAAAAAGGCTGCCATGCTCCGAGACTCCAAGATCAAGTTCATTAAAATATGTACGTACAGGACACAATACCCTACCATCAACACTACTGCTAAAGGAAACACTGCCTAAGAGTGGAAAAGTACTACCAAAATTGTCTTGGATTTACCTTGAGCTTCTTACTCATGCAGAGGGCCCCTTATGTTCGCCTCTGCTGGATTCAAGCAGACAGCAGGGCAGGCAACAGGGATGACCCACACCTTCCCCCAGCATTTCTCAAACCTTAATATCCTAAAAGGGAAACTGTTGCAATTGCTTAAAAACAGGCCAAAACCACAAATTATTTGAGGGAAAACACCCATTCCCGCACACCTTGAGTATCCACTGCAGAGGTAGGCCTGATCTGGTTCTGAGCTAGTCAGCGCTTCTGCCAACCCCAGAGTAGAAGCAGGGCTGGCAGTGGTGTGGGCACCAGGGCACATGCTCAGGTCGTCCTCACTCTGAGGAACCTAGAAATAGCCCACGGTGTTAGGCTACAGGCAGACATGTTGCAGATCAAAAATGTACGTCCCAAAACTGAGAAAATGTCTTTACACAGTTTCTATAAGAAAAGGAAATGCGGCTCTCAGTAGATCACTATTGGGAAATTTGTCACTGTCTATATGTTATGGCTTTTATAATCTATAATAATAAAAGGGTAATATGCTAATTAGACCGGACGTCATTCCAGATGTCCTTCCGGATGAAGCCAGCAGCCGGAGGGAAGCCAGCCCGGGTACCAGTTGCCGGGTGCTTGCGGGCGACCAGAGGGAAGCAAGCCCGGGTCCTGGGTGGCAGAGGGAAGCCGGTGCCAGCAGCTGGGGGAAAGAAAGCCTACTCTTGCACAATTTCGTGCACTGGGCCTCTAGTCTATAATAATAAAAGGGTAATATGCTAAATAGACCAGATGTTATTCCCGAGTAAGCCGGGCCCAGAGTGAAGCCCGGGTCCAGGGTGCCTGCCGTCAGCTAGAGGGAAGTAGCCCGGGTCTTGGGTGTAGCCGGAGGGAAGCAGCCCAGGACTGTCTGCCGAAAAAGGTGCCAAACTGGCCCCCACCCAGCTCTGGGTAACTAAAGACTGTGGGGAGACAGTGCATCTTTGCTTCCCACAATTCCTCCCCACCTCTAGCGAGTTAGAGATTCCTGTGGGTACCCCAGCCTTCTACAAGATGACCACAGGGGCACAGATGACTTGAGCCAGAGGTGCGACTTCCCCTGGACAAAAGCCATGCCCTATGGGTTTCTTTGGGAGAGGGTTACTGTGAGGCCCAGAGTGCTGGGAGGTAAGCCTTGGATCGCCCTGTACTCTACCCAATCCCTAAGGAAGGAGGGCTTGAACTGGTGAGATGACAAAATGAAACCTGCCTAGGGAGGGCAGAGACACAATGAAACAGTTCGGACTGTCCCTTCTGGCCAGGAAAACCGAAGACAGGGCAGCAAGAAACCCGGTCAGTCCCCCTCTACCCCCGCCGCCGGAGGAAAGCCAGGTCCCAGGTGCCGGAGGGAAGCCGGTGCCGGCAGCCAGGGGAAGGAAGGCCTATTCTTGTATGAATTTTCATGCATTGGGCTTCTAGTGTTTCTATAAGAAGTAAAATTTGGCTATCAAAGATTTCTGAAAATTCTTCACTATTTCATTAGATTATTGCATTTTATATAGTTAATATTTCCTCTGCTTCAAAATGCATTAACATGTACTTTTTTTTTACTTAATATTTTAAACTCTAGCACACTGGCTGAGGAGGGGCTGTGTCCCCAGAACTGGAACCCCTGGGAGCATACAGCATACCCCTGTGAGACTGGCTCTTAGACTAAGCTGCATCTGACCACCAGGGAACAAGAAAAATTAATTACTAGACACAGAATCTGTCACAGTGGATGTTAAAAATAGAAAATGTGGGCCCTTTGGTTTTCATCGAAAACATGAAAAAAGCCACAGAAGACCTGCAACTGCAAAGTAGCAAATGAGGGTAAACGAGCATGATCAGACCAGGTATGCAGGGGACAGGACAAGATTTGCTTCGAAAGGCAGGCCAGGGACTGGCAGTCAAGTGGCTTCGGTTGTGCCATGTGGCGTGAAGAGTGCGCAGAGGCAGGATCTGTGTCGAAGCAGCACACCGTCTGCATTGTGATTTTTTATTTGGGATGTGACTGGATTTCACATCCCACAGTTCCACTTTCTCACACTGCCTTTATTTTACTGACTTCACTCCCTGTGTGAAAAGCAGTGCTTTAACCAGAAATACAAAGACAAACAAGTTACATCCTTGACCTCAAGGAACCCACAGTCCTTCACAATCCTTCCCTGACCTCTGACTAGGTACACATTTCTTGAGAGGAGGGCTTTGTGTCTTATATTCCCATATTACATATTTATTTATTTCACAAATACTTTAACTACCTAACATTCTAAATATAATGGTAGGAATACAATGGTAAAACATGACATGGTCTCTCCCCTGTAAAGGAGCCTACACAAAGAGGGGAAACAAAAAACAAAGGCCGAGAGCTGTGTTGTGACAGGAGAGAGGCACAGAACTCTGAGTACACAGGTGGAGCCCCACACCCAGGCACCCTCCAAGGTTTGGGTAGAAAAGTCTCCTGACAAAACTGATACTCAAGCTGAGGCCTCAAGGATGAAGGAAAGTTACCCACCAAGAAAGTATCAAAGGAGTTTCCACACAAATGAAAGTTTGTGCAAAGGTCCAAAATGAGAGAATTTGTGGAGCCTAGAAGAGTGGGAGGGTCCCAGACAGCTGGAATTCACTGGAGGAGGAGGGAGTGGCCATCAGACCAAATGGGGAGCTCAGTGTTAAAGAGCCAGAATTTCTTCCTCAGGGCAAGATGTTTTTACATATGAGATGGGCAGTAAATATTTTCTTTGATGCATCAAATAGTCTTTCAAAGCAGTTCTACTCTTCTCTGTGCCCTGAATCAATATGGCTGACATCAGCAAAAACATGTAGGAGCCCCTAACACAGAAGGTTCTGGGTAATACCTACAACAGTGGTGTCCAATAAAAGTACGATGCAAGCCACATATGTAATTTTAACTTTTCTAGTAGCCATATTCTTAAAAAGTAAAATTAAGATTACTAATACATTTTGTTTAACCAATATTTCTAAAATATTATTTCAAATGTGTTCAATACTAAAAATATTAAGACATTTTACTTTCTTTTTTGTACAAAGTCTATAAAACTCAGTATGCACTCTGTACTTGCTGCACATCTCCATCTGGAGCGGCCACAGGTTCAGGGCTCTGCATGTGGCCGTGACTCCGTACTGAACAGGGCAGACTGAAAATGCGCTGTGGAAGCATTTCTTAGAAGGTCTACGGTACTTGTTGTTGCGCTGGTATTCCAAATCACTTTTTCAATGGGAAAAAAAAACACAGAGAACAGCTCACTTCTGAAAGGTATCCAGAGCCCCACTTCAGTAACACCGGCCACAGTGGGTGTGTATGCTTCCCAGACACTGTGCTGTGCCCACAATATGTGCAGGGCAGGCTTTCTAAAGAATAAGGTCTGTATCAACAGCTCTTACACCTAGTATATTAACAAAGCTCTGAATTAAATGAAACAGAAACAGATTAGTTCTCTGCTTTCCATTTTATTACCTTTTGAGACTATATTTAAATGAGTATGTCCTAGAATTTTGGAGTTTATAGGGAACCACTGTCATTTAAGGAAATGCTTAGGGTTCTCAGGCTGTCCTGCTTTGCCAATTTTTCCTTCCTGTCACCTGACTACTCTGTATTTGTCTTTAAAAAATAAAGAGTAGGGAGGTAGAAGGGGAGGGGGTCTAATATATAAAAGAACTTCATTTCAAGAATGTGGTGGGTCTGATTATATTCACTGTCTTTTTTTTAAAATATATTTTACTGATTTTTTACAGAGAGGAGGGGAGAGGGATAGAGAGTTAGAAACATCGATCAGAGAGAAACATCGATCAGCCGCCTCCTGCACACTCCCCACTGGGAATGTGCCCGCAACCAAGGTACATGCCCTTGACCGGAATCGAACCTGGGACCCTTCAGTCCGCAGGCCAATGCCCTATCCACTGAGCCAAACCAGTCAGGGCTATATTCACTGTCTTTTGCTTTATTATCTGGCAATTAAGTTGGAAGGCCCTAAGTGCCCTGAGTGAATATTTCACTTCATTTTCCAGGCTGCTCCTTCAGAAGTTACAAAATGTTGAATTCCACCACCTCTCAGCCTCCTGCGGAGTCCTGCTCCCAAAACCCCGTCATAACACAGCAAATCATTCCTGTGCTTTACCTGCTGGTCTTCATCGCGGGTGTGCTGCTCAATGGCGTGTCGGCGTGGGTCTTCTGCTACGTGCCCAGCTCCAAGAGCTTCATCGTCTATCTCAAGAACATTGTGGTTGCCGACTTCCTGATGAGCCTGACCTTCCCCTTCAAGATCCTCAGCGACTCGGGCCTGGGCCCCTGGCAGCTGGGCGTGTTTGTATGCCGGGTGTCGGCCGTACTCTTCTACGTCAACATGTACGTCGGCATCATGTTCTTTGGGCTCATCAGCTTCGACAGATATTACAAAATCGTGAAGCCTCTCCTGACTTCTTTCATCCAATCGGTGACTTACAGCAAACTCCTGGCAGTGACGGTGTGGCTGCTGATGCTCCTGCTCGCTATCCCCAACATTATCCTGACCAACCAGAGTGCTAAGGACAGCACACATGTAAAATGCATGGAGCTTAAAAACGAACTGGGACTCAAGTGGCACAAGGCATCAAACTACATCTTTGTGGGCATCTTCTGGCTTGTGTTCCTTCTGCTAATCATTTTCTACACTGCCATCACGAGGAAAATCTTCAAGTCCCACATGAAGTCCCGAAAGAATTCCATTTCCGTCAAGAGGAAATCCAGCCGCAATATATTCAGCATCATGCTGGTATTTTTTGTCTGCTTTGTACCTTATCACATTGCCAGAATCTCCTACACACAGAGCCAAACAGGAGCCCCTTTCAGCTGCCAGTCCAAGGAAATCTTGTACTATGTGAAAGAATTCACTCTGATACTGTCAGCAGCAAATGTGTGCTTAGACCCCATTATTTATTTCTTTCTATGCCAGCCATTTAGAGAAATCTTGTGTAAGAAATTGCACATCCCACTAAAAGCTCAGCATGACCCAGAAACTTCCAAAACCAGGAGGGGAAATACGATGCACGAAAGCACAGATACGCTGTGATTTCCCACCTTTCAAAGGAGGGCCCTGTGTGCGTGTTGTAACTTTCATTTACACAACAAGAGGAGTAAATGGGGGAAGGCCGTGATCGTAAGCATCGTCACTGAGCATTACTCTCCAATTAGTATAATAATTAAAATGTAAGTTTCCATGCTTTTGTGTGACATCAAAGAAAAAATAATACATACATTTTTCAATCATACCAAAATAGAAGGTTTAAATTAAACACTCATCTGGTCAGTTAATATAGAATTTTAAGCAGCAAATAAGAAAATAGACAGCAATCAAGACAATTCTCAGGGGTGTGTTTCCTCTCTAAATGCAATAATTAAGTTAGTAAGTTATGGGCAGTTTTTTCAACAGGATCATCAAGACCAACTTAAAGGCAGGCAACAGCTAGAAGCCTGTTGTAGTGAGGGAGTCAAGCTGTCTGATTTGAAGGAGAAAAAGGAGACACCCACTGATCTATCTCATGGCATTTCAAAGGAAAGTAGATATAAATTATGTACTTTGCAATAAAAAATGTAATTTTTTCTGATAGTATTTTGAGGATGATATAAATACATTTTTAATAACATCCTCTGCAGAGATTGGTTAAGCCACTTCATGAGCCTGGTGTTCCGGTGTTAGAGTATTTTTAAAAGTGGGCTCAAGCCCTGGCTGGTTTGGCTCAATGGATAGAGTGTTGGCTTGTGGACTGAAGGGTCCTGGGTTTGATTCTGGTCAAAGGCACACGCCCAGTTTACAGGCTCAATCCCCAGTAGGAGCTGTGCAGGAGGCAGCCAGTCAATGATTCTTTCTCATCATTGATGTCTGTCTCTCTGTCTGTCTGTCTGTCTCTCTCTCTCTCTACCTCTCTGAAACCAATATATACATATATATAAAATATATTTTTTTAAAAAAAGTGGGCTTGACCAAGGGAAGCTAGATATGGGCACGTGTTGCGACGACTTCTCCTGTTCATGGCAGGGACAAAAAGAGGATGCCTGGGAGAAAGACACACTCTCTCTCTCTCTCTCTCTCTCTCAGGATGGCCACATACATTCTTCCCTGGGGAGGGGGAAACAACATTCTTAGAAAGCAACTGGACTATATAAAAAAAATTATCAAAAATGTATAATAATGAGTGACAAGTTATTCATAAAATGAAAACTTACACATCACATTTTATGAAAAGCAATGAATTAAAATGGGCTATGGTTACTGGCTTATGACTTATGAAAACAATCTTTCTTTGCTATTAACCAGCTGGAAGACATTCAGCCCACCTTTCCTTATATAATTCTTTACTGTATATGTACTAATAAAGAAACTATTTTTAATAGTCTCATTTTTAAAAAAATAATCAAGATATGAAAAAATTATTACCAGATTTCCTCATAGTCAAGACATGGTATGGTTTGTTTAAGGCACTCAATTATGCATGTTAATAAGGACACTCAAATTGTACTTGCTTTTCATTTTTCAAATAAGTATTGCATATGCTCCATCAGATTTTAGGCAAAACTCAGAAAGCACACTTTAAGTTGAAGAAGAGATGGGAAGGTTTTTATACTCTGTGCCCAGTTTTTATCCTTGTAAAAGCTCCCTGCTCCCAACTCTGGGTCAAAAAACACAATCGCCAACCTACTATAAGCATGCTAGCTAAAACTAAGCTTGCTCTACTTGTTTGGCTATATATATTTGCAAAAGAAATTGACTGAGTTTATTCTTCATCCTTTCCACGGACCAGGACAAATTACTAAATGCTGGTGTTTTAAATGCCCCTATTGGGCCTGGGCAAAATGAAAGTAACAAAAAGAAGGTGGGTAGCACATGGAGAATGCCTTTGTATCGCCGTGCCAAAACAGATCAGCAATGTAAAAGGCAAGATTTCTCAAAAACAACATGCAATGCAGATAAGGATTCTGTGAAGCAAAAGGCAGGGGACAGTTACTGCATCTTATAACTTTCAGGTCAGGGCTACAACAAAAGGAAGCTGTAGAGCACTAACAACAGTTAACTCTGACTTAGAGAAGGTCACCAGCACCAGTGCAGGCAGGTGACAGGGAATACACACTCCAGGCCCTTCTGTAGAGAAAGCTATAGTGCAGGTCTTCAAGTGTCAGGCTGCCTGTGCGGTGTTTACACCCAGGTGCTGTGGCGGAAAGGAAGGCAATATAAGTTTGGTTGTAAGAAAATGGAAAATAGAGAATGTTAAAGATGACGCTGATCCTGGCCGGTGTGGTTCAGTGGTCGAGTGTCGACCCATGTACGGAGAGGTTGTCAGTCCAATTCCCGGTCACATGCCTAGGTTGTGGACTTGATCCCCAGTGGGTGGTGTCCTCTCCTTTCTACTCTCTCTAAAAGAAAAATCAATAAAAAACATAAGAAAGAGAAAAAAAGATGATAGTGAGCTGAGAGTTTGAGCCTCACCAAGAGGCCAACAGGCACTTAGCTTCAGTCAACTGGGTCCATGTGTTTTCAAGCCACACAATTTTGAATTCCAGGGCAGCAGTGAAAAGAAAACATGTGTGTGGATAGAATGATATACCGACAGCTGCTCTGCAACATCTTACGTGCCGAAATCTAATAGAAAGGGACTCAGAAGTGGCTCTTGACTGAAATGAAAATGCCCCTTCATAGGAATCCTCATGTTTTCTTGAACTAAACTGAGGCTCTATGTTGATGCGTAATTGATTCAACCACCTATACAAAAATACTCTAAGCGTTTTTATAAAAGAAACATTTGACACAAGAATCAAGAAACAAAGAAATCACAGTCATATAAAAAGGTTACACATGAAACCCACCCACAGGGAGGCCCTCACCTTGCAACTGTCTTTTACAAAACGTCATCATCAGCAATGCCCACTTGTTGGTTATCTCCTCAGCTTCCACACTCTCTTTTCTCAGCAGTCAAAGCAAACTTTTTTCCTTTGGGAAATTCACCTTCCCCTGTTCTCAGCCATATACAGTCCTGGAGCCCATCCTGTCCCTGACCTCAGGGTGAGGCCATAACTGATAACCAGCATGTCCAACTCCACTGGCCACAAGCTGAGAGGAAAAGGACCCAATGTGAGCAAGTCCTAAATTCCTGAGAAATTCTCCAGACGGCTTGCTGTCAACATGCAAAGTCCCGAGTGCTTCTTCCATCGGCCACCACAAAAGCAAAGTGCACAGCTTTCTCTGAGTTGAAACTAAGCCCGCACAAGGTGGCCAGGGAAGTGTTACCAACCCAGCTCTGGTTCAGTGACAAAGGCCCTTCATCAGCCTCAACTAAGGCCACTCCTACAACTGTGGACACTCAGCTAATGAATCTCTTCAAAAGCATAAGCGCTATTTTCATTGTATTTCTTCGTCACGTACAAATGAGAAAGTCCTGATATATTGGATTAGCTTAAAAAGTAGTCCAGGAACTCTAGAAAACACCTTACACCAGCTGTGCTACCATCTGATGTAGTCTGTCCTTAACCACCCTGCATCCTCTAACTGGCACTGGAGAAAGAAGGAAAGTCAGTATCTTTATTCATACAGACCATATCTGTAACACCAGGAGACTGCATCCTTACAATTACACACAAAACAGGTCATCCCCTCCACAACGACCAGGGCTGTGCTCTGAGAAGCAGCATGTGAGGTGTGTGCTTGCGTGGGGGGACCGGCAGCACCCAGTGCTCTTCAAAGGAAAACCACCATTTCCTCTCGGTCACCTATTGTCTGCAAGTAGCCAATGGCACCCAGACTTCCGTTTCATGACAAGAAATCCCCACCAGAAAACACTTCAACAAAATGTAGTTTTCCTTTCTCACAAGCCACTCTGAAAAATGCTTCAATCATTTCATAGCACTGTTTGTACAAAATGATTAAATATTGTATTACTTTATCAGTAGTAAATATATTTTTTAAACCTTATTGATAAACTAGCTATAGAAAAGAAACAAATTATTCCATGAAATAAGGTTTCCAGGTTGATAAGGAATAGAAGTGGCTCCATTCCCGTCTCCCCACCTCCAGAAGCTGAGGGAAAAGCAGGAGGCAGAGTTATAAAATGAGGCCCATCTCAACCACAACAGATATAAAAACTACTTTCACCAGTCAAGTTTATGAGGCTACTTGTTACCTTTTGAAGGCCCTCACTGTATAATTCTGACTCCTCTCATGGTCAAAGTTAAGATCTCCCAACCCACCTCTCACCCCACTTCCAAAACATTATCTCTATTCAGTGCTTTGGGGACCAACAGTGCAGGACTCTGGGTCAGGGTCATCCTGCTGTTCCACCCCCATGGAATCAGTACATCCGGGGGAGCCCAGAGCTACACTATTTTCCTCTCCCTCCCAAATCACAGTCACTGGTGAACTGCTAAGCCCTCAAAGTGCATAGCAAAGTCCCACGGGCTTATTCCCTATCATTTCATCCCTGGACATAAAAGACACCAAAAGATGGCTTTTATTATCTCCATATAAAATGTCATATTACTTAAAACAATTTCTTGATAATCCTTTTTCTACAGTAAATTGTAACTTGCAGATTTTTCAAGTTATTAATTATTCATGTTCCACATTGAGTCCTTAGCTTTCTGAGGGAATACCAGCTCTCTGACATCTCACTGAAATGAGGAGTTAATCTTCATTTTGTTTCTAAAGTAAAAGCCAATTTCAGCCTGGTATCATTTTTTAAGTACATTATATTATTAATAAATGATAATTTTATTAATATTATTTGATATTATTAAAGCATTTAGCAAAATAAAAAGGTAATTTTTATAGGAAATGCAGTGTTTCCATTAATGTTGTTCAAAATGAGAGCTTCTGAAGTGTTTACAAGTTTACATTCAGGCGTCTGGGTGGTGACAGACAAAGCACTGAGGAATATTTAAAATCTAACTGAGAGGAATAAAGAGCAATCTGCGCTACATAAAATAATGAGATGGCACTAAAAACACAGGAAGTCAACACACCCAATTCTCTCTTCCTCACACTTCCCTCCTCAGCATTGAACCCTGGTCGCTCCCCTCCCACTGCCATGCATTTCCGATCCTCAAAGCCTCTCAGCTAATGTGACTTTAGTCCTCCTCTAACTGGCATCTTGCCTTCCACTTTCTCCCCTGACCCCACATACTCTATCTAACACCCAGCTTTACCTACTGCTGCACTGCCACACAACTTTCCTGAGCTCTCCCCTGCTTATTCAAGCATGCAAGGCTGACCAGGTCGATCCAAGATTTGGTCTCATCTGTGTCCTCACACAGATCCTGCTCAGATACTCCAAGTACCCAGAATGCCTGCGAGTTCCCAAACACACTTCGCACTCCCCAGTCATGCCCGTAATGCCCCAAGCACGCCACCATCCTCCCATTTCTCAGAAGCATCCCTTCATCCTACCGGGGCATCTCCTGGATTCACAGGTTCTAACAGCCAGCCATAATTTTGGATCACTGCAGGTCCTGCATATTCTTGTCACCCTTCTACGTTGTAACCTTCTAAAAGTCACAAAAATATTCCCTAGCATGGGCGCTAAAGAGGCGGCCTGCAAATCAGTAAATATTTGTTGCTGCATTTTTTTTTTACTTCATCAAAAAACAAAGATTCACATGAAAAGAAAGGGAGAATTCCTCTAAAGAACCTCCTCCTGGAAAGTAACAACGGAGTTTGTAAAATGGAGAGTTATGAGCTTTGAAAGTGTGTTACTCATACTTCATTAAAAGGGGAGCATAATGACACAAGTGGAAAAGAAAAAAATGAACTCAGTGACTAAAGAAAACAAGATAAACTTTACAAGTTCTCTTTTAAGTATTCCCTTCCAATTAATTATTTCATACCCCTGGGTCAAAGAGCAGTCGCACCTCACAGCAGAAAGGCCATATGGACTGTGTGTTGACCTTAAAATAGCATTGTACTGTCAATAAAAAGGCAGAAGAGCAAAAGGAGGGGAAAGGAGAATGACAGGGAATATGCTCAGCCACTCATAACCAACTTCACAGTCCAAGAATGTGCAAAACACCTTTGCCTTCAAAACATTTCCAAATTTTTGCTCCATTTCATTAAAAAGGTAACAAATGAAGGCAGAGCTTAAATCATGCAGACAAAGCAACATCTTGGAAGAGCTATATGTGCACCACACTTTAAAACCACTCTGTCCATTATGTCCATCACTCACAAATTTGAAGATACTAGGGTCGGGAAAAAGACTTTGGAGTGATCCAGGTGGGAAAGTGAATTATGTGCTTTTAAAAAACTTTCAAAGTACAAACCAAAAGCACAGTGGCTCCAAGGAGAAGGCGATAGGAGCCACACAAGCTGCTAGAGAGATGTTTTGCTCACCAGCATTCATTAACCAAGGATCATACAAAGTTTCAGGATGCAAGTTACTGTTGAGTTGAGAGTATTCTGACTTGCAAATTCCAGGAGAAGAGTGGCAACAGTGGAATACTGTTCCACTGCCCGATGGCATGCAAATTCGAATCCTGGTAAACACTAAATGGGGGACTGCTGGCCTGCTTTAGAGCCACTGCTTCTGCCCAACACTTCCATTTAAGAAGCATAAGTTTGTGCTGGGACACTGGAGTCTAACTGTGCAGCTGTTAGAGAGGAATCTCCTACGTGTCATAGATTCTTTAAAGAAGTTCCCAGGACTGTGTCTGGCTATGGCAGTGGCCACATACCCCAACACTCAGTTTCCCTCCTCATTAGTCCCAAAGGCCTCCCATGCTATGTTTAAAAGGCAAATTTTAATGATGTTAAATTAAACATTAAAAATTATATTTCTACTGAAATATGAAATGTTTTTTGGTATTTTGTCCAATAAAATCAAAAGCATGATGCATGTGGATAGGGGGGATAGATTCCTGGGGCAATTTAGCTTCCATTTTTTTTTAATATATTTTTATTGAGTTCAGAGAGGAAGGGGGCGGGGAGAGACAGAACATCAATGATGAGAGAGAATCATTGATTGGCTGCCTCCTGCACACCCCCTACTGTGGATCGAGCCCACAACCCAGGCATGTGCCCTTGACTGAAATTGAACCTGGGAACCTTCAGTCAGCAGGCTGACACTCTATTCACTGAGCCAAACTGGATAGAGCATCCATTTTTATTTTAAACATACAAAATATCCATTAAAGTAACTAATGCATCATTTCCAATAAAAAGTATTACCATGACCAACGTAAGGGAAAAATAACTTCCCCTCACTCCTTCCCACTTGGGTTTCTGAGGTACTGGGTTAGTGGTGATGTGTCATTTCCTAGAACACTAACAAGAGACGACCTGAACAACATTTGTCCTAATGAAACAGAAAAAGGCGACTTATGAAAATTCAAAGGGAACTCATGTTAAAACAAAAAGAGGGACAACAGCCCCCCAAAGCATATTTCCACTGTGAACAAACTTCCACAAAACATAAGGTGCCTCAGCTCATTCTCAAAAGAAAAGAACCTGGTTCGGTTTCACTATTAAAAGTGTGGTTTCCCACTATTCCAAAAAGGAAACAGAACTCTGAGATCTGGGGTACTTCAGCTCTTGAATGTTTGGCAATCCAGACACAAAAGCCTTAGTGGGTTTTTAAGGACAGTCAAATGTACTTCTTAACTCCGTCTATACCCCAAAGTGAACATGGAAGTAAACATACACTAGTAAATACACCAACCTAAAAAATAACAACAAACAACTTTACCAAAATCTGTTTATTTCCATTTTCCTTCACACCATGCTAAAATCATTCACCACTCAGCTGGCAGCCAACTCCATCTCGCCAAATTCTCTCCATCTCAGCCTCTACATCGCCCACTGAATGTCAACCCTGACCATACTGCTCCCTTACCTGGCCATCTGCAGGCAAGTCTTTTCTGAAGTGTTTTAGAGAGTCCTGTTCCACATAGATCTTAAAAGACGAATCATTTCCTAGCACTATCGTAATGAAAGTTAACACTGGTTCTGAACCAAAATCAAATACAAAGTCGGAGAGAGTTTGGGATTTTCCTCTAATATTTAAGTGAATATACATAAAAAAAGAACCTTTTCTTTTGCAAAATAAAAACAATAATTACATGGATTTGGAGGACACCAGAATATCTTAAACAAATGGCCACCATTATCATAAGCATCCTCACATTGCTTTCTTCAAAAGGTCCCTTTGACTCTTCTAAATTCATTACCTCAGCTTGGCAAGTCCCATTTAGTCTTTTGAGAAATTTTTCTTTTTTAAAGTTAATACCAAAAGGGACTGAATTTTAAACTCTGGAGAGGTTCCTTTGAACTTTTTTCTAATTATTTGGGAACTGACTAAGAATTATTAGGAGAAAAAGAGATGAAACCAAAGCATCTACCAAACCAATGAAGCAACAGAAGAAAGCAGACCATGATTGACCAGGCAATGGCTCAACTACAAATCGACTTTGTACCAGCAGACTTAGAACTTCCTAAAATGTTCTTGAAATGTACACTCTATATGCTGTTTTGTAAAAGCTACCCTCATGCAAGAAACATAACCTAACAGAGCCAATAGATGACAGGGATAAGAGAGTGACTTTTTGTTAGGTCCCTCACCATGCTGGGCTCCATTCAGACACTCACTAAATATTTGCTCACCCACAGGCAGAATGAACAATGACCCAAACATTTAAAATGCATAGTTGCATACAATCTAATAATTACAAATTAATTGTCTCAATTCATTAAGCTGTTAGGGCCAAATTGACAAATACTCATTATATGTCTACTCTAGTAACTTATGAAAACAGAACCAACATATTGAATGAAAAAAGTACAAACCATGAACCAGTATGTACAATATAATAACATTTTTAAGTGGGTGTGTATACATACAGAAAATTTTTAAAATGTATATGCTAAAAATGTTAACAGGAGTTATCTCGGTATATAGTGACTTACCTCTTCTATTTCCAGATTTTTCTACAATGAACAAAAAAGAATGAAGAAAAATAAAACATAGAATAGTTTACCAGACAATGTCAAATCACATCTTTTTTGTTTGTTTGTTTATTAAAAGATGTCTCTAGCAGGATTCATACTGCAACCATTATTTTAAAATTATAACTTTGAAAGGCTGATGGGTATCAATATGTAGAACTAAAGAAATTCACTTGAACACCTAGTATCTGTAACTCATAACCCCTTCCAAGGCATAAAAATTAATGTTCTTTAAAATCATTATGATGAAAAACACAGCTTTGTTGTTTAAAAAAAAACTATTAGGCACTACAATGGACAAATAAAAATCCTTCCACTAAAATTAGAATAGACAACTCTGAATTGCTTAAGAAAGCATACACAAAACTGAAAAGAACCTCCTTATAGGCCTTCATATAGTTAAACTATTTGCAAACCACAGTTTCATCTACGTCAATATGCACATTTAAAACCACACAAAAGGAAAGGAAATTTTTAGTACAACCAGCAGCCCCTCAATAGAGCTGTTACTGCTACAGCCAGACGAACAGCACATGCTTCTCTGAGGACTTGAAGAGTGGCCACTGAGGCTCCGGGAATATACCCCAGGTATGTCTTTTTAAATACTTCATATACTTTACTGTCTTTCTTTGGAAGGAAAAGCTATGATTTTCGGTGTTTAAACCATGTAATTGGAAATGTCAACATGTAGCAAGGCTGTTGGGTAAGAAAGCACCAGTTATTAATCTCTAAGTAGATTCTCACTGTGAACTACACTATAATGTTCTCCTATCTGAAGACCCCATCCATTCTCAGAAAAACAGCTTAATCCATACAGGGCTGAATACTTACTTACAGGTGAGCATTGCTATTAAGTAACTCAATTTTACAACTGAATGAATAAAGGCCATGTTGGTCCTCACAACAGGGCACAATGGTTCGTAAAATGACTTCCTACTACACACATTATAATAGGTAATTTCAAGAAAATTCCATTGTGACTTCCATAAAAAAACCTAATGTGTTTATTTTCTAAGCAATGGGCTTTTAATCCAAACAAAGAAGACACTTGAAATATTTTCCATTTTGCTGGAGTACCTCTGGATACCACAAATTTCCACAGGCTAATAAGTGGCTGACAAAATATTGATCAAGCATTTAGTTTTCAAATTCATTATTGATAACACAGGTGTTATTATAGTATAATTTAACCCCTAACTGACATAACCAAAACTTTAAATGAAGAGATTTGGTTTCTGTTGCAATCTAGACAGGTTGATGAAAGCCACTGCGAAGCACTACGTGATTTGCAAGCATTATTGAATACATAAACACACTGTGATTATTTTTAAATAAATTACTTATGGGTGGTATATATGGTCAGTGCCAGTTATAGAGAAAATTAATTGATCCAAACAATCCTTCTCTAATCCGTGTTTACTATACATTCTTCTATAAAATAGGGCTTTATTGTATAATAGTATGAGCAATGGGGCACTTTTAAAAAACACATTATGCTCAGCCAGTATGACTCAGTTGGTTGAGCACCGTCCGATGCACCAGGAGGTCGCTTGTTCGATTCCTGGTCAGAGCGCATGCCCAGGTTTCGGGTTCAACCCCCAATGGGTGGCGTGCAGGAGGCAGCTGAAAGATGTTTCTCTCTCATCAACATTTCTCTCTCTCTCTTTCTCCCTTCTCTCAGAAATCAATACAAACTTAAAAAAATAATAAAATAAAAAAGCACATTAGTATGTTACTATTATGTAATATTTGAAATACAAGCGCATAAGCCAAAATCCTAGTTCCTTATAAAGGAACAATGAACAAAGATGGGAGACAGGGGCCAATCTGCACCGTTAGCTTCTGACCAGGGAAGAAAAGGTGCTCAGGAAGTCACAGCACACATAATGGTTACCATGGAAAACCAGTCCTAAGGAAGTCAGTGAAGCCTGGATTAGACTTTAGATGTGAAGAGCTTCCTCCAGGCATTTAGGATAGGCAGGACTCCAGTTTAGAGCGGGAGATAAAGGCAGAACTTCCAGAAAGCAATCAAGGTAAGAGTCTAGCCTGCTCTGTGAAGCCTTGAGCAAACCAAGTGCAGACCTCAGTTTCCTCAAATGATCTGAGGATTGAACTAAATGTTATCAATAAAGGTTCACTCCATCCTTAAAGTCCTTTGATCCCACAATTTAATCACAACCAAAAATACAAAGGCAGAAGAAACAGTTCACAGAACAGAGGAGATCCCACCGACCTAAAGTAGCAAGGAGGGACAAAGACAGTAGGGAGGTATGGAGAGACTACGTCATGGGAACTTCAAAAGTAAAGGTTAGGTTTCAAGGATAGAACGTTTCATCCCCTCGAACATTTCCCATCTCAAACAACTTGCTTCTCAACCTGACAACCCTTTCATGCTGATACTGGTATGAGCAGTCACGAATTTCTCAGGTGACAAACAAAGAGAGAATATGTGAACATCAGTCAGTTTACCTCAGGATATTGTGCTGTGAATATTTTCATGCTTTTTTGCTTTTAATTGTTAAATTTTCATTTTTTACTGTACATTTCCTTTCCTTTTAGTTAAATTTTCATTTATATTTCATGTCCTTTTTGTTTTTTTAAGTGTTTACTTATACATTAAACAGTACTGTAGACATGTACTGTAGGCAAGAAAGGTTAAACCAGAAAATCATTTGGGGGTCTGGAATGAATTAACTCAATTTACTAATGGGGGAAAAAATGATTTGGTTTTCAAACAGCCTTCTAGAACAAATTAAGTTCGAGAAAAGAGGTTCCACTGTATATATATTATAAAATGAAACATCAAAATACATGAAGCCTAAACTTCTTTTATTAGTATTTAGAAAAAAATTAAGAATGAAAATTGCTTAGAATATAGTTGCTGCCCTTAGTAAAGGTTGGTAATAATAATAATGATAATAATAACCATCACCATCATTATTGTTAATACTATTACTGTTGGGACAGACTTTTGGAGTGGTTTCTGAGATCAGATGGCCCGATTTGGAATCCTGGCTCTATATCCAACCATATAATCTTTGGTGTTACTTAACCTATTGTGCCTCAGTTTTCTCATCTGGAAAACAGGAATAATAATACATGGTAGTAATGATGGAAGGTTAATAGGTTCATGTAAAGTCCTTAGCATAGTGCCAGACCCAAAGTCAGTACTTAATTGTTTCCATTGAGTTTATGACCATTTGTGGCCTCTAAAAATCCTCTCAGGTCAGAAAGTAGGAAGGACATGTACCCTTTCCATGACATGAATTTAGAAAGATTTATGTACCGCTGCCTTATCAATCCATTTGCATACTGTTTCATCCCAAGATGAGCACAATGGATCATTAAATAATTAAGGAGAATTAAGATTCAGAAAGCTTCAGCAGTTTTGGTTATTTTTTTTAAGGGAAGTTTGAATAGGCTTATCTGGCCTTCTTAATCAGCCACTATACTTACTATTACTACATTTAAAAAGTTATCTATTCATTTTTATGGCTAAAACACAAAAATACACTACTTGTTAAAACAAAAGAAAGGTACTTAATATGCATGAGGAGGGAGCATCTCAAGAAGCAGCCCCAGAAAGAAGTGCCCGTGACCTTGGGGTACCAGGGGCACTGGACCAGGGCAAAGGCAGCGAGTGAAGTCCAATTGGTTTAACTTGTGCTTCTAACACCCAATGTTCCAGACTTGGAGGAACATGGTATTGTGTAAATCACAGTGGTTCAAGGGCGTGTCTTCTACTTCTAGCTTGACTGCCTCAAAACCCACAGTGAAAGAGAAAGAAAACACTCTGAAGTGTCAACATTAGACGTTTTGATACTAATATAGCTGAGCTTTTCTTCGAGAGTTTTGTTACCAATGTTCTAGAAGCCTTAAAAGACATTCTTGAAATTTCTCAAAAATACTAAGAACACAGAAACATCTATACAAGCACTGTCCAATAGAAATATAATGCAAACCACAGAGGCACTTTAAAATTATCTAGTAGCTGCACTTAAAAGAGCAAAAAGAAACAGGATAAACTAATCTTAATATTATATTTAACCTATACATCAAAAATATTTTGACATGTGCTCAGTATGAAAATATTAATGAGATATTTTACTAATTGTTGTATTATTTGCATAAATGAATACAATTTTACTACTTGTACTATTTTAAAAAATAATTTGTACTAAATCTTTAAAACCCAGTGTGAATTCTGCATTTATAACGCATGTCAATCTGGACTGGCCACATTTCAAATGCTCAATAGTCACCTGTGGTGGCAGCCTACCATCATAGTGGACACCAGAGATCTATACCATGAAACTGGAGCCAGAAAAAGGGAGGTAATAAGCATCAGTTCTGGACTAGACTCTAATCCTTCAACTCTTTCTGCTAAAAAGAAAAATAAAATAAAATTTTGATTGTGAAAATGTTCTAGTACAGGAGTGGGCAAACTTTTTGATTCGAGGGCCACAATGGGTTCTTAAACTGGACCGGAGGGCCAGAACAAAAGCATGGATGGAGGGTTTGAAGTTTTATTCATTTGAAACGGGCCGTAGTTTGCTCACGGCTGTTCTAGTAGGTTAGATAATAAAGGGCCTACTTTTGAAATACCTACTTTTAAATTTTAGTACAACTTTGTTACTCTTACCACCCCCTCAGTCTAGGTTCCTCCAGCACCAGCAGTTCTATCAACCTATAAGCAAAGAAAGCCAGATAGCCTCATACAGCTCTTCCAGCTCAGCCACAACCAAACCATTTTACTCTCGTTTCAACTCTAGTTCTCAGAATTTCAGTTTACTTATCTCCTCTGCAAACTAACTTCCAAGCCAACTGGTAACAAGAGCTATCCGAAGGCAAAAGTATGATGTCAAAAATATGCCTTTTAGAAGCTAACCTAATGGGATTTCCCAAAAACACAAAATTAGACCATGGAAAACCCAGGCTTCCTGATAAGCTAAGATGTTCCCACCAGTCCACATGCTTTAGAAGAGTTCATCAGAAAAATTCTAAGAACCAGAAAGATTGGGACGGAGGTATTGTTAGTTCAAGTTATTTTAAAGGAAATAATTTCTAATTTTAATTACTAGCCTCTCTTCCCTTCTCTTTTAACAAATTTTTAAAATTTTGTTTTTTAGAAGAGTCATCCTTACTTTCGAACAAGATGACAAACAGTTCTACCTTCTGTCCAGTTTACAGAGATCTGGAGCCATTCACATATTTCTTTTACTTAGTTTTCCTTATTGGAATTATTGGAAGTTGTTTTGCAACATGGGCTTTCATGCAGAAAAACTCAAATCACAGGTGTGTAAGCATATACTTAATTAATTTGCTTACAGCCGATTTCCTGCTCACTCTGGCATTACCAGTGAAAATTGCTGTTGACTTGGGTGTGGCACCCTGGAAGCTGAGGATATTCCACTGCCAAGTAACAGCCTGCCTCATCTACATTAATATGTACTTATCGATTATCTTCTTAGCATTTGTCAGCATTGACCGCTGTCTTCAATTGACACACAGCTGCAAGATTTATCGAATACAAGAACCTGGATTTGGCAAAATGATATCGACTGTTGTGTGGGGAATGGTCCTTCTGATAATGGTGCCAAACATGGTGATTCCCATCAAAGACATCAAGGAAAAGCCAAACGTAGGATGCATGGAATTCAAAAAGGAGTTTGGAAGAAATTGGCATTTGCTGACAAACTTCATATGTATAGCTATATTTTTAAATTTCTCAGCCATCATTTTGATATCAAACTGCCTAGTAATTCGACAACTCTACAGAAACAAAGATAATGAAAATTATTCAAATGTGAAAAGAGCTCTTGTCAACATACTTTTAGTGACTACAGCCTACATTATATGCTTTGTTCCTTACCACATTGTCAGAATCCCATACACGCTCAGCCAGACCGAGGTCATATCTGACTGTCCAACCAGGATTTCCCTCTTCAAAGCCAAAGAGGCCACGCTGCTCCTGGCGGTGTCAAACTTGTGCTTTGACCCTCTCCTGTACTATCAGCTCTCAAAGGCATTCCGCTTGAAGGTCACCGCAACTTTTGCTACAGGTAAGGAGAGCAGGGCTCAGAAAGAAAAATCAAGTTGTGAAAATGATGCATAAACCATGGGATTGTGCTATAACTTTATGCTGCAACTTCTTCCCTTACTGGACAACAATTGCAAAACAACTGGAAAAGAGGAGAAAAAGAGAGCCTCGGAATGTAAAAGTACAGACAGTTAGCAAATGTGGCATGGTTTACTGTGAAACCTTGTTTTTAAATGCAAACCAAGCAGTACTTCTTGGTTGTTAAGACAAATATTTGTACAAAAAAACTAAAAATTCTTGTTAAACCAATGTAAAACCCTGCAATATCCTTGAAATCCAAATGACTTCTATGGCGGACACAGGGGTGTTCATGAGGTGTTCACTGAAATACCTGGAACTGACTTCTTGAGAAAAATATGCAAAATAAAGGTGGCCCTTAAATAGAGGTTTGAACTGCATGGGTCCGCTTACATGCAATTTTTTTTTCAATAAATACATATGGTACTGTAAACGCATATTCTCTTCCTTATGATTTTTTTCAATAACATTTTATTTGTTCAAGCTAACTTTATTATAAGAATACAATACATAATGCATATAATGTAAAAATTATGTGTCCACCAACTGTTTATGAAATCAGTAAGGCTTCCGGTCAACAGTGCACTATTGGCAGAGAAGTTTGGGGGGAATCACAAGGTATATGTAGATTTTTTACTGTGAAGGGGTTAGCGCCATTTACCTCTTCATATAAACTCTACGTAAGTTGCCATAAAGCCCTTCAGCAACACAATTTAAAGCCTTTTAGATCGCTTTAAAAAAAAGGCCAACTTATTTTTACATGAAACCTGATTTATTTTTAATCCACCTTCCAGCTCACTACTCCAATAACTTTCTGCTGTTAGTATGACAAATTCAGTGATTTCTTATTTTTATTTTATAGTAATATGAAATAGACCCTATAACATTTTCAAGGGGAATTGTTAAATTATACTAACTGCCAAACTACTGTTTTGGAACTAGAAACTCACATTGAAGTTATGGAAAAAGAGCACCAGTCAAATGGTCTTAAAATAGATACGCCCACTCCACACAGCAAGGCCTGGTTAGGAAAGCAGTGGTGCTAGGCTGGCTGCTGCCACCCAGATCCTGAAGGTGGGTGACCCCATCTGAGGCCGGCACACTGGAGTGTGGGTGACTCCTGCTCTACGGATCACTCCCTTCGATCTCTCTACTACCAGTAATGCAGAAACGATTCAATAGATGATGAAATAAGACACTTATTTAAAGAAAAGAAGATTACAAAGTTTAGACAAGCATGCATGAAGTTTTGTGAGGGGTTTCATCTCGATAGTACAAGCTCATATTAAAACAACTGGTAATCCATGAACATTAGCTGCCATGATTAAGAAACTATATTTCTGGAAAGTAACAAAACAAGTTTGATTCCATACTCCTTTTTAGATCTGCATTAAGAATTATTTTCTAAAGCCTGACCCAAGACAACTCCTGTCTACAATTTCACAAATATATTCTTTGAGTTTGAAGAGAATGATAAATAAGAAAATACACACACAAAAGTGCCTACTGCACTCATAACATGGTAAGTTCTGAACAAATGCTAGCTGGCAAGTGTTAATCAGCATCACATGTCTGACCCCGACAGGCTGGTAGGATGCCTAGCCTAGAACCTGTGCTTGTTGGTATTCTAAGAACATGTTTCTACTGATGGGCAGATCAAGACATTGTTCCTATAGGAGAATACATGAAACTAGTCTATTTTTCAAAACTCTTTGGTCAAGTCCGCTTTAGTCCTCTCTCCTTGCCCTTCAGTCACTAGGGCCCCATCTTAGAGAGAGGTAAAAGAATCTTTGTTTTAAATCATATTCTTATAGTCTCCTCACTTGTTTGATAAATCAGCCTAATTTTCCTTTTTAGTAAAGAGAACCAGACTCTACAACATGTTATATTAATATATACTTTTATTTCCCTTTATTGATGCCTTCTAATTATACTCACAGTATAAAGGGGTTTAGGGCAACTGGTGATGGAAGGCTATGAAATATACCCTGCCACATCCATTTATTAGTTCTTTTTATGATTGCAATACAATTGAATTATATCATAATTCATCATGAGAATAAGCCATTAGAAGAAATTCATGTTCCTCAGGGAAGTTAGTGGACAGTGTTTAGAATACTAAATGCCGGGGATGACGGTGTTGCTAAGGATGTGAACAAAAGAATGAAGAAGTGTATGGTGAGCGCCCTGCTCTGACACCAGGCACATGGAGGGGAGCCCTGCGAAGCTCTGCTCACCCAGCTTCAACCATTCTCAACACTGCCATATTTGCTTCATTTCCCCCTCTCCATTTTCTTCTTTTTCTAAAATAAACCTTTTATTTTGAAGTAATATAAAACTTATAAGAAAGGTACAAATATGGTAGAGTTCCCACATACCCTTCATCCCATTTTGCCCTAATGTTAATGCCTTACACACCCACAACACATTTGTCAAAACCAGGATATTAACACCGGTGCGTTACTGTTAACTACACTCCACTTCAATTACCCGGCCCCCTGACTCTATTTTAAAACAAATCCCAGATATCATGATAGTTCATCCAGGGATTCTTCAGGATACAGCTCTAAATATCAGGGCTATTCTTTCTGCTGCCTGAATAAACTGTAAGATTATTCCATTATATTAAAAATGAGTGACACAGGTAACAGCTGAACAGTGTTGAGACAGCCCTACCCAATTTGGCTCAGTGGATAGAGCATTGGCCCGCGGAGTGAAGGGTCCCAGTTTTGATTCCGGTCAAGGGCACATACCCCAGTTGCAGACTCCCGGCCCTGGTTGGGGGCATGTGGGAGACAACGAACTGATGTGTCTCTCTCACATCTATGTTTCTCTCTGTCTCTCCTTCTCCCTTCCACTCTTTCTAAAAATCAATGGTAAAAATATCCTCGAGTGAAGATTAAAAAAAATAATGTTGATACAGTCAGCCAGTGATGAACACGAAAAAATTATGGCAACTTTTGACATAACCCTGGACATAGAAAAGTTCACACCAAAAAAAGGGTTCTTAATTTAATAAAGGGGAAAAAATAAATGGGTGTAGTGATTTTGAAAGTCATTTCAGAGGAAGTTCCAAAATAACCAATCAATCAATAAATAAACAAATGTAATAAAATATTTAGTTTGCAGATCAAAACTCCTCAAAGATATCCAGGAAATAACATAATGCATACCTAAAATTATATTTTTGCTAAAATAATAATAGTGTCTAATGAGATTTACTCATTAAAATTATACTTAAAATCCCAGGAAAAAATGATAGTGAACCTAAGAATAAAAACATTTACAGATCTTGGCCCAATCTTCATTACTAATAACAAAAACTAAACTTGTTTCCCTTTAAAATAGAGCACTTCACTCTTTATAATTCACACTCTAAATTTCCTGGCAAGTATTTCCCATGTGCTCTCCAGTTCTTAAATTCAACAGGTCAAAATCTAAATCCATCTCACATACAACCTCTTCCATGAAGCCCTACCCAATTTCTCAATCAGATGCTCTCTCTCCCTTCCAACATTTACTCTTGGAGAGTGGAAAAAACCCAAAAATGTCCAATGATTCACCTTCCAGTGGGCACCTGGGTTTTTACTCATTGTACTTTTTAATGCTTGTTATTTTATAGACATTAGTCTCCTCCTATCTTATTCATCTTTCCTGTGTCCATAAATTGTTATTCATCTGCATAATACCAAAAGTAACTACCACAATACAGTGCACATAAATGCTACTCGATAAATGAGCTTCAAATTGAAGTAGGAAAACAAATTTAGCCATTATTTTCAGTGACTCAAATGCTCAATAAAAGGACATTAATATAGTAAATTCTTTTAAATCTAGTCAGCTAGTAGTACCACACCACACATGGGCACTCATTAGTACATAAACCATATGGTGAGAGTTATAACAAAAGAAGCAATGAATACAAACACTCACCTGCTATCACATGTACTGTTCAAACAAGTAGTTGAATAGTCTATGGCTAATCATCCTCTAATGAAATAATCAAATTGTCAACTGACTGACCCGCTGACTTACCAGAGGTATGGGAAAATGTGTTGCATACTGCAGGTGTCGCAGGAGGTCATAATTAGATGGAAAAATCAACTCTCTTGGTTTTTCTCTCTTCAGCAGCTTCTCACCATTAACTGACATTCTTCTGCCCACAGAAGGGTTGATGATCTCACAGGACTCTCCAGGCATAGGAGAAAAAATCTAAGTCATATAAAGCAAATGGTGGAGGTTATAAATGAAAGAGAGTGACGCCAACACCAGAACTGCATACAGAGCTTCCAACACACAAAACACTCAAACAATATCCTTTCCTTATTTAACCACTGAGCAAAATATATACAGAAATTGTGTTTATTTCCATAAACTTCATATTCAGATCACTAGGAAGCTGCCGCCATCGTCCTCCATTTTGAAGATGAGACCATGACGACCACACACGTGAGAAATGGGCCCAGCTGTATTTCCTGGAAGGCCGGAGACAGACCAGACTCCAGGTCAGTATTTTCCTCTTAGGGCTACATTTCCTACAAAAACACATGCACTGAAATAGTTAACAAGCTAATGAATAACATAAAGGTTTTATTCTTTTCCCCAAACAATATTTTTTATAAAGAGGGACTCATTAAGATTCATGGGGAAGAGCACATAATTATACTTAGATAAAGTAAAAGAATGTATAGCAAGTCCAGAGCCAGGAAAGCTACTATTTAGAAGCTAAACACATATGCGGCAAATCAACATGCACTGTCCTAATGAAACTACTACACTCCTTTTTCCTGAGAGATGCCGATCTCAAAAGGAACAAAAGGTCTAGGAGGGCAGGAGTGTTAAATTTCCCAAGGAGGCAGTACAGATGAAACCGAGGATGAACCGACAGGAAACAACTACAACTACAGAGCTGATGGACTGTGCCCTGGGGAGGAATGTGCTGGGGTCACATTTACATCGCAAGTACACAGGTCATTCCAGTGCCTGAGCAAGAAACAGAGGGCAGAGCCCAGCTGGGGTCGGGGTCGGGGAGGGATTCATAGTCAATAATAATTCAATGGTTAACCTACTGGGAATTGCGAACCCAAGTCAGTTTTAAAGTCACTTGTCTACTTCATCAAAAAGATCAATAGTTCCTGAGCCAATACCCACATGTGCCATAACGGTCTGTCCCTGATGATGGTCAGAGAAAGGAAGTCACATGGTAGATGGTGTAGCTCATTAAGAAACTGATGCTAAAGCAGGACAGTAATATTTTTAACCCTCTTATTTCCTCTTAGTGTCTTTTCCAAAAATAAAGAAGGTTCAAGGTATGCATTGCTTTGGAAAGTCACACTCTTTGTCCTCATGATGAGAAAGATTCAACTTCCATCGTTATTTTAAGGGAAGAGCACAGGAACATCCTGATAAAAACAAACTGACCATAATCTCCTTCCCTGGGCTATTCCCAGTCACGTGCTCACCAACTTTTCTTAGTAAGAAAAATCTAAGCTTTAAGATATCTTGATGTTGAAGAACAAAAAAGAAAAATCAGAAACATAGAAAAAGCCTAAACAGGTAAAGTAGCTTTAATTTTTTCACCCTATATAACTTATACTGTGGACAAATTTAGAAACAAACGTATTTATACTAAAGATTTTTTTAAATTCCTATACCATTTAGTCACCAAATCTTAAGAGTATAAACTATAAATCAATGTGTATAATTCTAATGTCAGGTTTTTAAATTACAAGTATAGGTGCTGGCTTAAAAAATATAATATTATATACTTAAACTCTCATACAACCAACATGAGCTTTTATTGTTAAGAAATTATCATAATCTCTCACCATTTTCTACTATTTCCCATCACCAACTTCATGTTTTTTTGCCTTCAAAATTTCAGTAAGTATCTGGAACAATGTCCAAAATATCAGAAATTGGCAGAAAATTATAAATTCATACTCACTGCATAAAATAATTTGTAGAAAAGAACAACTTAACTTAAAAACATTTGAGAAATAAATATTAAATTTTTTATTCATTGAATGAAGACATGATGTGTTAAGACTAACACAGAATTTCCCACTATGTATAAAAGACTGGTACAATTAATGAACAAAATACATCAGGGAAGATAAACCAGGACTTTAGGGTCAAAACAAGTCCATTTTTGAGACAAACATTAAAGGAAACTGGGGATTAGAAATACATAAAACTGGAAGCACATATTTCTAATCCAAAGAAAGATATTATGGCCTGTCAAATCTTTTCATTAATAGTTCTAGAGTATCCAAAAGAAAACTCTGGAAGATGTAAATTATAGTCTGTTTTTTTGTGAGCGGAAGTAGAGATATATGAGCTTTGAAACAAGAGAATACAATTAAAAAGTGATCACCAGCCCTGACTGGTTTGGCTCAGTGGATAGAGTGTCGGTCTGTGGACTGAAGGGTCCCAGGTTCAATTCCGGTCAAGGGCATGTACCTTGGTTGTGGGCACATCCCCAGTGGGAGGTGTGCAGGAGGCAGCTGATCGATGTTTCTCTCTCATCGATGTTTCTAAATCTCTATCTCTCTCCCTTCCTCTCTGTAAAAAAATCAATAAAATATATTTTTAAAAAAAGTGATCACCCTTCCATCACACATCCTTCGGAGCAGTTTGGGGAAATGAGGGGAGCAGGCACACCCTCCCAGGGCCATACCTCCATCTTCATGTCATGGTCCTTTGGGTAGTGCTCATCTGCATTTTCTCCTGAAGGCGACCGTGGCCGAGTGGAGGAGGTGACAGACAGGTCTCCCCGGGAGATGAGGGTGCACATGTAAGCGTCGTGAGAGAAGACATCGTGCCGGATGAACTCGCAGAAGAGCAGCACCAGGTTCACAAACTCCGCCTTCTCACATTCACTGTTTGGATCCGCTATAGAAACAATTCCATTAAAAATTCAGTTTCCTATGATCTAGTTAAAAAGTAAATAAATTTTATAAAAATATTGCTAAGGCTTAACAAGATTAGCACCACTTTTCACAATTTTTTTTACAAAGTCAACAATTATTGCCAAATTTCCTATGAGGCACTATTGTTTTGTATAGAAATGGCTCACAGGTTTTTACTGTCCCACTACAATTAAAAATACTATCCAGTATGCTAAGTACAACTTCAAGTTTAAAGATAGTGGGCCCAGGCAAATGAATAGTCTTTTAAATAATAATATAAACACACAGAATTTCAAGTTAAAAACAAAACAAAACAGAAACACAGGCCAAGATTGCTGTCCTCTGGTTTTATCACTAAAACTGCTTGTGGCTGCTTTCAGAGTTTGAGTGTGTCTGTGTATTCGTGGGGCACATTATACGTTTTCCCAAGGAGATTTCACAACAGAACCACAATTCAAAGGGTAATTAAAATTTAAAAAATGAGCGGGATCTACTGAAAAGAAAAAGGGAAAATGAAATTCAAAGCGCATAGACAGAAGCTCTTCTGTCTTTTTAAATTCATAACCAGTCTATTTAATTTACATTATGATTTTTAATATTGTAACTGCATTCTAAAACTTTGTATCTGTACCTTTGAGAGGTTAACAATGTTAAGACTAACCCTGCAAAGCTCAGCCCCGGTACCAGTACACTTGCAAACACAGAGACGAACAGACCATCCAGGGAACATTAAACCTGACACCTAAATGTCTGTTCTCGTCCACCACCACATTCAGTACAGCAGCCTCTGCACGGAGACACAAGCAGCTTCTCTGACAGAAAATGGAATCCAGAACAAGCAGTGGCAGAGAAAAATGTATTTTCCAGAGAGAGAACAGGAGTGGGTCGGACATGGAAGCCCAGGGCAAATGTGTGTCTCCCCCAGACAAAAGACGTTAGAGCTACTAATTTCCACTACTGGCAATATACTCTCTATTCGGTATATCTCCTGTCTTCTCATTTCCCTGCTTCACTTCCATGTTTCATTTCTCTCCCTACATTCCAACAATCAGCTTGACTCCAGCTCTTTCTCTTCCTCTGAACTCGACCAGCCATAAAATAACTAAAGACCCCCAGGCATCACTCAACCCAAAAGGAGGCCCTTCTCAGAGGAATTGGAAGCAGAGTTATTTCTAGATGCTTTACCTTTTTCTTCTTCACAAACATCTTCCCCTCCCTCTACTCTTTTTCTCCCTTTTCTATCACTTTTCATTCTTTGCCATTTTTCTGTTGTTCTATCACTATCTATCCTAAGACTCTTCCTGCTGTACTCTTACACATAAAAGCCTCAGAATAAGATCAAGCCCATTTAGCTCGCCCAAAGATTTTTTAAAGTGGCACCCACAGTATGAACCTACTGGGTGGTTTATTCCCCCAAACTCTCAACTTGCCATCAACTACAGAATAAAAGAAAAAGAATATAAGATGACATGAACATCCAAGAGAGAGTTAGCAAGCAGCCAACCATCTTTACAAATAATTTCCTTGTATCTAGGACCTTGTTATAAAGTACTGTTATTTGATTCCCACCCTCTACCCACTTTTTAAGATGCAAAGTTAGAAAATAAAAAATTTAGAAAATGGTTTGAAAAGAGAAATTTCCAAATCACAATATACAGTGAAACATCTTAGCTCCTCTATTTTGGTAAGAAAGATCTATAAAGGGAAAATTAGTCCACTAATTACAAAGGAAGGAGGCACTTTATTTTTAAACTCTACAAAATTTTAAACCTTTGAAATTCACCTAATTTTAAAATTGCACAAAAACATCCATTGAAAACATGCCACAAAATTTTGTTCAGTAAAATATACATTATATTCAGTGCCAAGAACTTTTGATAAGATGCAAATAAAAATTTAAAGAAAGAAGAAACAGCTTTAAAAGAAGGGGTGGAGGCCATTCCCTTATTTAAGATCTAAAAGCAAAGAGCTTTACTTACACAATGAGGGGGCCTGTGTATCTAAAAACCTTAGCAGAACATTCTGGAAAACAGGCAAACTAGATCCAGCAAGAGACGCAGAAGAAATGGACTCCTTCTCATCTAAGACCTCTGACTCCCCACATCTCTAAAGATTAAAAGTAAACAAGCACAATAAGTTATAAAGGACAAGTATGGTCACAGTGGGTCATGAATAGGTTAGTTTCTCATTAACATTTAAGTTCTCAGATAAAATATAAATTAATTGAGATTTCTCTATATATTTGTAGGCCATGCATAGTAGGTAAATATAATTTTACAAGTTCAGGAAGCTAATCCAGAACAATTGAAATTATTTCAAACCATACCCCTGAAAAACATTATTCATCTGAATTATAAACTCTACACAGTACTGTATGAGCATCCATTAAATACACAACATAGTACAAAATACACTACTCAGTATTCCTGTACCAACTGCTAAAAATAATTTGAGGTCATCATTTTTAAAAAGCTCATGCTTAACTGTATTCCCCCTAAGAAATGTTTGGCAATGTATTATTGAGTTCCATTCTTTTGTGTTTGTTTTGGTCAGGTGGGGGTATTTACAAGTATGTGTGGAGAAGTGTGGTGTGGAATAAGAAAGCTAACATAATTCCCCCAATTAGGTTCTTTCACTTATTCATCACATTTTACCAATGAGATCTCGCAGACTCTCTGGGACTCTCCACAGTTCATGAAACACATCAAGAGAAGCTGTTCAACGTGTGTACTCCTAAGATAGAACTTATTGCCCTGGCTGGTGTGGCTCAGGTGGGTGTCATCCCAAGCACTGAGAGATTGCTGGTTCAATTCCTGGTCAGGGCACATGTCCGGGGTTTCAGGCTCAATCCCCATAGGGGACATGCAGGAGGCAGCCAATCAATGTTACCCTCTCACATTGATGTTTCTCTCTTTCTCTTCCTCTTCCTCTCCCATCTTTTCTTTCTAAAAATCAATAAACTATTCTTTAAATGAATTATTTTTAAAAAAAGATAAAACTTACTAGAAAACCAGAAAAGAAACAGTTTAGAAGTAATCAGATGCTCGTTTTTTATTCTCTTCAATATCCCTTTGATCCTTATTCTTCAATATTAAGTTATCAATTATTATATTAACATATTTCTCCAAGCCATCCTTTCTTTACAAAGGTCAAATTTTGATGTTTATTAGAAATCAATTATCTTAAACATCTCTGAAAGAATACAGTTACACCTATTAAAATTACAAAACAATCTGTGTGTGAACCTCTTCTGAAAGTGATGGTGTGTGTGTGTGTGTGTGTGTGTGTGTGTGTGTGTGTGTGTTCGTGTTCATTCTGGGACACACTGGGTGGAGGGAGGGAACGACAACAATCCAGAAGCAACAATGAAATCTGAGAAATTCAACTTTAGTTACTAAACTTTAATCATTTCAATTCACTGTAGAATAGTCTATTCATAAATGTATAGAAAAAAAGCAATGAAACACTTTTCCTAATTTGCACATTGCAAAATGGGCTTGTGTCTTACAACTTAACATCAATATCTTCAAGCCCCAATTTCAACAACATGATCTTTCATATCTGGTGAACAGTGCCTTCCCAAAAGAGATATCAATGAAAACATTCTTCCTATTTCATTTTGTAATAGCTCCATAGGAAGTAGGTACATTATCAGTAACAGAGAGCCAGCTAAGTGCTCATCCATTCATGCAATATTTATTGAGCATCTACTATGCACTGAGCACTATTCTGGGTACTCGGGTTCCTATTGTTGAGCTTACATCCCAGAGGCAGGCAGGTGTTAAACAATAAGCCACTGAGGAAAGTAAAACAGAGTGATGTGAGAAGAGTGACTGAGGAGGTGACACATGTTGAGCTGGGAATGCTACAAAGACAGTGACACTTTCTGAAATAGGAATGGCAGAAAGAAACTGGCCATGTGAAAATTGGGGAGCAGCGTGTGCCACCAGAAGATACAGCAGGAGCAAAGACCCAAAGATAAAAGCGAGTTTGGAGTGATGGAGGGACAGAAAGTCCAAGGCGTCTGCAATCATGTGTGTCCCAGAGGAAAAAGGTAGGAGATGGTGGGGGGAGAGGCAGGTAGGGCAGCCCTCAAGGCTCTGTGGGCCATTTAAGGACCCATCATGGAGTTTTAGTAAGGGAACAGTGTGATCTGTTCCCACTTTGAAAAGATGGGTCTAGCTATGAAGAAACAAGGTAGGAGGCCCAACAGGTGTCAAGGTGAGAGAGGAAGTGGCCTGGTCAAATCACACCTTCTCCAGAGCTGACCGTGCAGAATTTCACAGGCACAAAAAGAGGCTCGCTTAAAAATGTTCCCTTCAACAAAAGCTCATGTTTATGAAGCTAGCTCTGTTTTCCCATAATAATCTACTGCTGAGGCCATAATTGCCTTCTCTGGGGCCAGAACACAATCTCAAAAAATAATACAAACTGCCACCTATAAATTCATAGGCAAAGCACTTCTGGTTCCACTAAAACATTATGTGGCTTTAAAATACATAATATAAAAATATATACACAAACATATACAAACATCTTTATCTAATAAAAGAGAAACATGGTAACTGGTGTATGACCGCTACCCTTCCCATTGGCTAATCAGCGAGATATGCAAATTAACTGTCAGCCAAGATGGAGGCCGGAAGCCAGGCAGCTTGAAACTA